CTTATTCCACTGACCCATCTCCCCGACCCTGTTTTCTATATTAATTTATGACAAACAGTGCTCCTATAAACATGGGTGTGCATATATCTCTATGGCATGATGTTTTTAATTCTTCTGGGATGATAGGCAGAAGAGACATTGAAAAATGAATGGAACAATTCATTAAGAAGATTATACAGTATGACAAAGTAGAATTCATGGCAGGCATGCAAGGTTGGTTCAATATACTCAAGTCAATAAATATAATACACATAGTAACAGAGATAAAGATAAAAATCATATGACCACCTGACTTTTTTTGTCTGTGTCTGCAGGGTCTCACTACACAGCTCCTAATCATAGTAATCTTTCTGTTTTTTGCCTCTCCAGTGCTGGGATTATAGGTGTGTGCCACCACACCCGGACTTCATCGCTGACTTAGCACACCTGAGGTCAGGGCCAGCATAGCATACAGCGCCAGAGTCACATTTGTTTTTTGTTATTTTTAAATGTATTTTACTTTATTTTTTAAGTAGGATGTTTTCATTAATTAATACACTCCATATCATTGTCTTCATGCTAGTTATTCATAGTACAAGATGCAGACATGATATCCTGTTCACAAACACTATTAATACAAATCTTTCTTCTCATTGAATTAAGAGAAAGTAGCTGTATCCTAACTATTTTGTATATACAGACACAAAATGGTCCTTCATTTGTGTTGCCTTTTTTGTTTAGTTTTGTCAGAGATGGTATTCCATTGCCATTTAAATACATTAGGTGTGTGAATTCAGCAAAATAATACAATATAGTCCAGTAGTCCATAATATTAGTGAATTATCCGTAGGACTGGCAATGTCAGAATTTGTTGACTTGAGCCTTTTACAGCTCAGAGAGTAAATATGACAATTAAAACAAAAAAATTACAAGTGATACATATTTCATTTAAATGAAGTATTATGTTTCACAGTATTTTTTGTAATACAGTGTTGTCTTCTGGCCAGTTATTCATATTACCAAATATATGGATATAAAATTAGAAGAAGGAGAAAAAGAAAGAAATGTATAGGAAATGAAGACGAGAAAAAGTACATATATATATATATATATATATATATATATATATATATCTTTCCCCCACTCCATCTCCTGTCCTTCTGCTCACTCAGTCACTATTTCTTTTGAATAAGTTCTTTACCTTTTACCAGTCTCTATAGATGCAAAAACTCATTAGAGAAAGTTCAACACATTCATGACAAAACTCTAAAGAAAATTAAATGGATGTTCTTTACCTCAATCTGATAAAGTTCATCTATGACAATCCAGGACCCAACAGCATAGTAAATGGCAAAACCTGAAAGATTTTTCTAAAATCAGTAACAAAATAAGGTTGTCCACTATCACCACTCTATTCAATGTAGTTCTGAAAACATTAATCAGAGCAATTAGATGGGAAAAAGAAATAAATTGAATAAGGATAGGAAAGGAATAAATTCAATCATCATTATTTGAAGATGATATGATATGCCACAGAGAAAGACATGAAAAACTCCACCAGAAATCCCGTAGAGTTAATAATTGAGCTCAGTTGTATATCTGGATACAAAGCCAACACTGAAAAATAAATATTTCTGCACACCAACAACAAATGCACTGAGAAATAAATAGGGAAACCACAGCATTCATAATAGCATTGAAAAAATAACATATTTAGGAATCATCCTAACAAAGGATGTAGATCCTTACGTTGAAAATTGTACTACTCTGAAAAAGCAAATCAAAGAAGATATCGGAAAATAGAACTATATCCCTTGCTTATGGATAGAAGGAACAGATAAAGTGAAAATGGGCATACTCCCAAAACTGTTACCAATATTTAATGCAATTCTGGTCAAAATACCTTTAGCACATTTCACAGAACTAGAGAAAATATTCTTACAATTGATTTATAAACAAAAGAGACAGAATAGTGAAAGATACTCTGGGCCACAAAGGAAAGACAGGAGACATCACAATAACTGACCTGAAATTATTCTACAAAGCTACTGTGATAAAAACAGAATGGTATACTTACCTGGCACAGGAGATACCATGATCACAAAGGCGGTTTTCCCAGGGTGAGACTTATTCATTGCACTCTGGATGTGCTGACCCCTGCAATTTTCCCAAATGTGGGAAACTCGACTGCATAATTTGTGGTAGTAGGGGACTGCATTCGCACTCTCCCCTGAAAATTTTGTTTTAAAGTAAGAGTAAAAAAAAAAACTAAAACAAAAACAACAACAAAAAACAGCATGGAACTGGAAAACATTAGATATGAGGAGCAGCTGGAACAAATAAGAAGGTTCAGAAACAACTCCAAACACACTCAGCTACCTCATCTTTGGCAAAGGGATGAAGTACAGTCACTGGAAGAAAGGCAGAATCTTTAATAAGTGATGCTAGAAAAAACTGTCTTTTCATATTCCAAAGACTAAAATTAGACCCATGTCTACTACATGTACTAAGTTAAAATCAAATTGGATCTAAGATCTAAATTTTAAACAGGAAGACTAAATCTTCTAGAAGAAAAATACATAGAATTCTTGAAGACACAGGTATAGGCAACAATTTCATGAACAAAGCCCTGATCACATTGGAAATACAACAAAGAATCAACACATAGGAACTTATCCTATTAACAAGCGTCTGGGAGCTGGGGAGATAGCTCAGCAGTCTGAGCACCTTTCTGCAAAGTGCAAGGTCCTGAGTTCAATCCCCATTACCCACATGCCATGCAAGCCTCAGAATCCTTGGTGCGCTGTGCTAGCCCCCAAACCAGGTATGGTGTTGCACAGCACTGCAGAGGCTAAGACAGGAGTATCACTATGAGTCTGCACTTCATATTGAGACTATATATATATATATATATATATATATATATATATATATATATGTTTTTGGCACAGCTAGAGAAATTACCAATTGAGAGAAAAGGCAATGCCTAGAATGGGAAAAATAAACTTAGTTGGCCTTCAAAGCATGAATATCTGGAACATTAAAAAAAAACTGAAAAAAGTTATCCCCCCATAGTTAAAGACCCAATCCAATACTGGGCATCTGACATGAATACCTACTTTTCAGAGGAAGAAATATATACATCTAAATATATGAAAAAAATGTTCAGCATCATTGGTCATTCAAAAGATGCCAATTAAAACAATGCCAAGATTCCATCTCACTCCAGAAAGAATAGCTATTACCAACAAAGCAACCAACAACAAATTCAGAAGGGGCTGAAGGGAAAAAGATACCCTTCTTTTCTACTGTTGGTGGGAGTGTGTACTGGTGCAAACACGTTGGAATCAGTGTGGAGAGTCCTGAAAAAACTAGGACTAGAGGTCTCATTTGATCCAGAAGACATAACGTATGTGTTACTGTAATCACCTCATATAACTTCTCATCTAATCTTCAGGTTTTTGTTCCTCCACAAGTTCCATAGTTTGAATTAGCATTCTCCTCAGACCAAGTGCTAAGTGCTTGGTGCCAGGCCACAGCAATATTGAGACATTGACATCTTAAAATGTGCACAACAGTTGGAGTCTGTTCGTCACAGGATTTTTTTGTTTGCCCTTAAAGAGATAATTGCACCACATCCCTTTGTCTTTCTCTCTTTGCCTTCTGGCTATCGTGAGCTAAGTAGCTTTCTCTACCAAAATGATTCATTCATGTGATGCTTCACCCCGGAGCCAGATATGGCTGTGCCAACTAATCCTGGACTGAATCATACAATCAGGGAGCTAAAGTATATCTTTCCTCATCTCAAGTTGATTTCCTCAGTTATTTGTTATAGGAATGAAAAACTAGCAGAAGAATATATTTAAAATTGATACTCCTAGCCCTTTGAAAGCACTGCTAGTGCTCCACGATGCACTTTTCCTAAAACCATGAGGTGCTACTGGTGTGAAGAAAGACATATGAGGTTTTCTTTTCCCACATCAGTATGCAAGTATTTGCATAGATCATTGTGAAGTTCTAATCAATGGAAAAAACTAAAAATATATCTAATTACTAAGTCAACCTTTTGGCCCAGCCACATAGTCCAGCAGACTAAATCACCTGCTTAGGCAGATGCAGCGGCTGGGTTTGATCCCGTGTTCTGTGCTGGCTCCGCACTGGAACCACGCTGAGATGGCGATTGAGATTGGGCACGGTGGAGCGTGCCTGTAGTCTCAGCACTTAGGAGGCTGACAAAAGGAGAGTCACTATGAGTCTATTCTGTGTAGTAAGACCCTATACTAAATACATTTTTAAAAATAAATTAATGAAGTTGACCTCTTGATTAAACTTTGCTTACTTTAACTTTAAAATAAAGTTAATTTCTCCATTTAGGATATAGGAAGAATTAAATATTTTTTACATATGCTGGATCTATGCAGAACAGCCAATTAATGCAGTAAAAGTAGATATCATGATTACTCATTTTGATGTCTCTCATACTTCTACTTGTAGAATCTTCTGTTTGATTACTTTATTACGATAGCACCACTTGTTAGAACTACTTCCCACCTTAGAAAGCCATTTTTCTTTTCTGCTGATCATTTACAATATAATTCATGACAGTTTCTGAATCGCTTTAAGCCACCAAAAATTGTAAAGGTTTTAAATTCTATCAGTAGAAGTGAACTTTTCCTTATGTACATCTTAATAATACAGTGGTAATTCTCTTATGAACTAAAAAATTATATAGGTTCTAGTATAATGATTAAAATATGATTTGTATAGTATCATTATTTTCAAGAACTA